TTGGAAGCAATGCAGTCAAAAGCGCGAGTCTACCTAGAAGCGGAAAATGGGTAAAATCGTAAAGCGTAGAATCAAAGCGTAAAATCGTAAGTTTTTTACGCATACTGGAAAATAAATAACAATCTATTAAGTAGAACATATACTATGTAAAATATGAATGCACAAAATTTAGATAAGTTAATAAATGCATGCAATTCATGCCTAAAGCAGAGCAACTTATAGCATCTTAATAATAAGTTCGTAAACATAAATTTTGACAACAAGCCACTTTTTTCTCTATGCTAATGAATTCGGGAAGAGACTAGCTGGTGAATTAGATTACTATATTGAAATTGAGAATGCATCCAAGTACCTGGTACATATCTTTCCATCTCAAATACATCATATTGTTGGTGATTTACTTTCAAATATAATTTTTATAATTAATTTCATGAAAAGAATACCCATTTAGTGAACTAAAAGCGTAAAAACGTAAAGCGTCTTGGTGAACTAGAAGCGTAAAAGCGTAAGCTTTTTAGCTTTAAAGCGCAATTTAGTCCGATTTTATACACTTATGTTTTTATATGGAAACGAAAGCGTTTTGGTGACCTAAAAGCGTAAAATCGTAAGTTTTTAAGTTTTAAAACGCGATTTTGACTGCATTGGGAAGAGAATGCTTCCTCGATGTAGGATCCATGTTGATCAGTTGAGAAATCCCGCAATATGTAACAATCAATACATTAAGGGTAAGATACAATCACATAGTTTCACTAAAGAGAAGTAATTTGATATGATCATCGATAATACCGTAATAGAATTACGAAAGTAAAATGGAATAGTTCCATCACCTGAGAAGCCGACCGAGTCAGTTGCACATCCTTGAAGATTCTTTGTCACAATTGAATAAATCATTTAACGAGACTTGCTTTCCATCACAGGTTGAGGAGATGCTCGATCATAACTTCTCAATACTAAATTTTCCTGTACAGAAACCAGCTACAAAGGCACCACAAGGTGCTAAAAATCTCTAACCGAAGAGATTAAAATCTGCCAAGAGATATAGTCGGACTTCACCGAAAATTCCACACCAATAATGTGGTTTCAACCCGTAGAAAGTGAGTTAATTCTGAAAAGTAAAAATATTGGATAAAATCCAATAATGGGTAAAAGGAAAATGACTAACATAACTGAACTTGCTCATATAAATTAAATAAATAATTAATACACCTTAATATCAGAAGCAATTCTCCACTACGGGTTAAAATCAAATTAAATAGAGGAAGGTTAGAGAAAGAAGTCAGGTACTGGGAGGGGAGTAATTCTAAAACATCACCAATAAAGTTAAAATAAAGTAACCAACGGAGATTAAAACTGATTTAAAGGCTATTAACGCAGCTAATAAAGACAATTACAAAAGATTGCAATCAAAATTAGGAAATTAATTAAAATATTACCGTTTTTTATACTAACGGTACCAGATTAGGCTCCTGCAATTACGTCAAGAAGTACTCCGAATTGGTAATCCATCTCCGGACTCCGGTCACGACGATCCCGCCGGCGCTAGGCAACCTTTGCTGGAACTGATCCGTCTCACGTCACCGGTTAGGACTAGACTAGTTTGAAACCCAACAGAGCATCCTCCCCGACGACAAATCATACACGCGGAGAGAGTCTCGCAAGACTCCGAATCTCCACGACGCTGCAACCGCCATGTCGGAACGCGCCTAATCTGGACGGAGTTTGCCGGGCAGAGAACTAGCTCTGACTTTTCGAGTTTGCCGTATCAACAGCAGATCCTGAAACCATATCAAACACAAAGGAAAACGGAACAAAAAGAAAAATGAACAGCTAATGCCCTTCGTCGATTGAGAGAGAAGAGTGTTGGAAGCTCGTAAGGCACCGGCAGAAGATTTTGTTGTTGATTGAGAGGAAAGAGAATACTTCTTTGATAAAGAAAAGTAATAAAAACTCAACAATAGCTAAAGGAGCATGACCAACCACCAAATTAGCCCCTTTGCCTTCACGACCAACGAACGGCAGAGAGGAACTTGATTAATTAATTTTTTGCATTCTGCTAAGCAGTGCTGGAAGTGTGGTACCGATATTTGGAATAATACCGAATACCATATCGAATTTATCACTATTTGGTATTATTGAATACCGGTTTCTTTTTTAGGGATTTTAAATAATTTTGGGGTGCTACTCTATATTCGGGATTACGGGATTGAGACCGGTCTCTACCGAAATACCAAGAAACACTGAAAATGAAAAATTAATGAAATATATAGCACACAACCTTTGGTCATTCCTCACTCTTTCACAACTTAAAAGCCTCCATTCAACTCAATTTTGACTTTCCAGTTTAAGTCACTCTCGTCTCTCACGTTATCTCTTGTTATTTTTCATAACACGAAGCAAACACTAGTATTAGTCGTCTCTCAACCTCCAATTCGTCACATTAAAAATTACTAATGACAAGAATTTGAGATGTCACCTCTCCTCCGTTCTATTTATCCATCTCCTAGCACTAGGCAAACTCAAAACTCTTTACTTAGTCTTTTTTTTTTCCGAGTGATATCAAGCGAGGACAAGAGTTATACAAATAAAACTACCCAGGAACCCCCTACAAGCGACACCCTAGAGAAGCCACCCAAAAAATTTGAAAGACTCTAACTCTAGAAGAGACAATAGCAGTGCTTTAAGCACCACTGTTGGCGGCTCTAGGAACCGCCCTAAATTATTTACAAATTGTCAATAGGAACTAACGACACTCCAGGAGCACCGGACCTCCAAAAGAATCTTCTATGACACTTGACGGATCTGGTTGACGACCACTACGAAATCACCTTCCACTATCACAGGAATCAAGGACCTTGATGTGATGATGGTGATAGCACCTCTTACTGCTAAGTTCTCCTGTCATGTTGGGGTTGACTACTCCCTGGTGATGCATACTGGCTGCCAACACCATATGCCCGTCTGACCCACGGATAACAAGATCAGACGAGCACCCTGAGTCACGAACAGTTGCTTTGAAGTTGATCTTCAAATAATCGTCTGGTGTAGGCTCCCAAGAGGCTGGAAGAGGATTCGAAAGGAGCGATCTGGGGGGCACCGAAGGGGGGTGAATAATGGAGACTTGAAGGACCTGGTTGTAGAATTGTCTGACGAGGGAACGAGCATGAGTTTGGTAGAATTCAAAAGTCACTTTATTTCTAGACTTCCAGATTCTCCAAAGTAAACAAATGCATTGGAGATTGTGGAATGTGGAGATCTCAGAGATCATGACATATGTCGCCACCATAGACGCTCATTAACAGTCGGGTCGGAATCAATGAAGTTGCTCAATCCCATTAAGGTCCACAACTTGTTGACTAGGAGGCATCTGAAAAGTAAGTGTTCTATGCTCTCTTGATGTCGCCAGCACACAAGGCATCAATGGAAGCAGTTAACTCCACGGGTTTGTAGGGCTACCACTGTAGGAAGAATAATCTTGACATATTTTCATATGAAAAATTTTAACTTTGGCGGGACTTGGAGCCCACATGCACAGTCTTTTTCTAATGTTGGGCTTACCAAATATGACTTGCAGCCCAGAAAAATGGAAAAGAATCTCTCTCTCAATGAAAAGGCATTAAAAGAACTAACTGGGCAACGCCTACATTAACAGGGAATTACTTCCTCTAATAACATAAAATAAATGATGATTTAAAAACTTAATGGGTCTTAACAACTCCGGTGGTAAAGTCAGTTCGAAACGGATGAATGCTTCCAATAAAGATCGGTAAAATTAGGAATTCAATACAAGAAGAAATTCTAGGGCACCTCCTGTCCCAATAATGGGGCATAAATTTGGCCATTAAAGGCCCATGAGCGCCATAATTAGGTCGCTTAATTGGCTTATCAGCCACTTGAAACGTCTCGTCGGAGACTAAACGACGACGGAGCTACTCTCTTGCAGAACCAAGGGGCCCGCCAACTCTAAGTCAATAAGACCGTTGCAGAGAGCCATGCTATTCAACTTACCATGCTCTTGAGAACGCTCTTTCTTCCCTCCTTTGCTGCTTGCCGGAGGAAGCTTTCTGCAACGTCTGTCTCTTCTTTCAGATGAAGTAATAATAATGACTTACAATGGCGAATGGGAAAGCAAGTCGTTGCACCGAAAGGCCAATGAAAAATACTGCATGATACTACCCTTCTTTCGTTCTCCAATGTCCACAACTTCAAGGTTTTTGAAATCCTTGTCGTTCCCGACCCTTGGATTAACATTAAAATTGAAACCCCCATTGTGCAGCCCACCCTTGGAGTAAATCCCCTTGTTGAACCTGCCGTTGAGCCCGACGTTCATTTGGTGAGATCCGCTTCCTCCGCAGGAGTGGTTGCTACTTAATAAATCGGAAAATGTATTCGACACGGCAGGCGAACCCGCTCCCCCGACCTTTCAGCCATCGTTGAAGCCGTTCCAATCGGAACCTACCTGGGGCCAACGGCGGGGGAAGGAGAATAGTTGTCTAGTTTCAGATTCTTAAGTTTGGTGGCTTTGCCATAAATTAAACAATCAAATCTAATTTATATATATTTAATTATTAATTGTAATGGTAATTAGTTTTGTATTCGATAATACCCAGGACATCGAAGTATCGATTGGGATACCAAAATATTTAGGCATTGAGATTGAAATACCAAAAATTAATTAAGAATTGAGATTTTGTTTAATTTTACCGTGTAATTCAGTATTCGAATATTCGGTATTTAGTATAGGGTCTAACTGCTAATTGATTGTAAATCTTGGGCTGGTCCACTGAAACAACACTAAAGACCAATCCTTTATTTGAAGCCCACACTGTTTCAAAACCTATTGCCCACCATACCATCTTGATTCTTGACTATGGGACTCTCCGGTTTCTAGTCGGCGACGAGCTGCGACCACCACCTTCAAAGAACCACCGTCACCAATTTCAACCTCTTTTCTACAGAAAACCCTAACTTGTTAGCCCCCATCTCATCGGAGACGGAACACCATGGTTTTCGTTAGATCTCCCGACGGCAAAACCGTCGCTCTCGACGTGAACCCGAGAACCACTACTCTCTCCGCCCTCAAGCGCCACTTCGGATCGCAAACCCTCATCCCGTCCGCTCATCTGCGCTTCCTTCTTCGCCGTCTTCCCCAAGTTTCTCCACCGGAGGCTGAGGATTGCGACTCCGTCCTCCTCTCTCAATTGGGCGTCACCCAATACTCGACCTTGACCATTCACGTTCCACTCTTCGGCGGCGTCGGGCAGCCTCCAGCGCCGCCGAAACCTCGTCTCGAGTTCCTCAACTCGAAGCCCCCGGCCAATTATGTCGCCGGTCTCGGTCGTGGTGCTACGGGGTTCACAACCCGGTCCGATATCGGTCCTGCTCGTGCCGCTCCGGATCTACCCGACAGGTCGGCTACTGCAATCGGTGCAGCGGCTCCTGGTGTGGGAAGAGGCGCTGGGAAGCCTGATGAAGACGAAGATGAAGAGGCCGAAGACAAGGGTTATGATGAGAACCAGAAGTTCGACGAATTTGAAGGAAACGATGTTGGGTTGTTTGCTTCGACGGAGTATGATGAAGACGATAAGGAAGCGGATGCTGTTTGGGAAGCCATTGATAAGAGGATGGATTCCCGAAGGAAAGACCGGAGAGAGGCCAGGTTGAAAGAGGAGATTGAGAAGTATCGAGCGTCCAATCCTAAGATCACAGAGCAATTCGCCGATTTGAAGAGGAAGTTGCACACTATGTCTGCAAATGATTGGGAAAGCATTCCCGATATTGGAGATTATTCGTTGAGAAACAAGAAGAAAAGGTTTGAGAGCTTTGTCCCTGTTCCAGACACTTTGCTTGAGAAGGCCAGGCAAGAGCAAGAACACGTTACTGCTTTAGATCCCAAGAGCAGAGCTGCTGGTGGAGCTGAGACGCCATGGTCGCAGACTCCAGTTACCGACTTGACTGCCGTTGGTGAAGGTAGAGGCACTGTTTTGTCTATAAAGTTAGATAGGTTATCTGATTCAGTTTCCGGATTAACTGTTGTGGATCCAAAGGGTTACTTGACTGATTTGAAGAGTATGAAGATCACTAGTGATGCCGAGATATCGGATATTAAGAAGGCAAGATTGTTGTTGAAAAGTGTTACTCAGACCAATCCTAAGCACCCTCCTGGCTGGATTGCTGCTTCAAGGTTGGAGGAGGTGGCTGGGAAGATTCAAGTGGCCAGGCAATTGATTCAAAAGGGTTGTGAGGAATGTCCCATGAACGAGGACGTTTGGTTGGAAGCTTGTCGATTGGCTAGTCCTGATGAAGCCAAAGCTGTGATTGCTAGAGGAGTCAAGAGTATTCCAAATTCTGTCAAGTTGTGGTTACAAGCTTCAAAGTTGGAACATGATGATGTGAATAGAAGGAGAGTTTTGATGAAAGGTCTTGACAATATTCCAGATTCGGTTAGGTTATGGAAAGCAGTGGTTGAGCTGTCCAATGAAGGGGAGGCTAGGGTTTTGCTTCACCGAGCTGTTGAATGCTGCCCATTGCATGTGGAATTGTGGTTGGCATTAGCTCGATTAGAGACATATGCTAATGCAAGGAAAGTGTTGAATCGTGCAAGGGAGAAGCTAACTAAGGAGCCGGCTATATGGATCACAGCCGCAAAGCTGGAAGAGGCAAATGGGAATACTACTATGGTGGGGAAGCTTATTGAAAGAGGTATCAGAGCTCTGCAGAGAGAAGGGTTGGCAATTGATCGGGAAGCCTGGATGAAGGAGGCTGAGGCTGCAGAGAGGGCAGGTTCTGTAACAACTTGTCAAGCCATTGTAAGCAATACAATCGGTATTGGAGTTGAGGAAGAAGATAGGAAAAGGACTTGGGTGGCAGATGCTGAGGAGTGTATTAAGCGAGGATCTATTGAGACGGCCAGAGCTATTTATGCTCATGCACTTAGCGTCTTTTTGACCAAGAAGAGCATTTGGCTTAAAGCTGCACAGCTTGAGAAGAGTCATGGAACTAGGGAATCTCTTGATGCCTTTTTGAGGAAAGCAGTAACATATACTCCACAGACAGAGGTGCTTTGGCTTATGGGTGCCAAGGAGAAGTGGCTTGCTGGTGATGTCCCAGCTGCTAGAGCAATTCTCGATGAAGCTTATAAAGCTATACCAAACTCCGAGGAGATTTTGCTTGCAGCGTTCAAGCTCGAATTCGAGAATCACGAACCTCAAAGAGCTAGAATATTGCTCGGTAAGGCAAGAGAGAGTGGAGGTACAGAGAGGGTGTGGATGAAATCTGCAATTGTTGAGAGAGAATTAGGGGATACTGAGAAGGAAAGGATAATGCTTGACGAGGGGTTGAAGCGATTTCCTTCATTTTTCAAACTGTGGTTGATGCTCGGCCAGCTGGAGGAAAGGTTAGGTCAGCTGGAGAAAGCTAAGGAAGTTTATGAGTTGGGGCTGAAGCACTGCCCGAACCGTGTACCTTTATGGCTTTCTCTGGCTTGCCTGGAAGAGAGAATGAATGGACTGGGTAGAGCTAGAGCTGTGCTGACCATGGCGAGGAAGAAGAACCCACAGAACCCAGAACTGTGGCTTGCTGCTGTACGTGCTGAATCAAGTCACGGGAATAAGAAGGAAGCTGACAACTTGATGGCTAAGGCACTGCAGGAGTGTCCCAACAGTGGCATACTGTGGGCAGCGTCAATTGAGATGGTCCCACGCCCTCAAAGGAAAAGCAGGAGTTCGGATGCTCTCAAGAAAACCGATCATGATCCGCATGTTGTGGCTGCTGTTGCCAAGTTCTTCATGCAAGATAGGAAGGTTGATAAAGCAAGAAACTGGCTGGGTCGAGCGGTCACAGTTGCACCTGATATTGGTGATTTCTGGTCCCTTTTTTACAAGCTTGAACTGCAACATGGTAGTGAAGAGACTCAGAAGGATGTTATAAAGAAGTGCATTGATGCTGATCCGAAGCATGGAGAGAAATGGCAATCGATTTCAAAGGCTGTGGAGAACGCCCACATGTCGACCGAAGCAATCTTGAAGAAAGTGGTGGTTGCACTTGGGAAGGAAGAGAATGCTGCTTCTGAAAATAACAAAAACTAGTTTTTGCTGCTGTTACCACTTAGTTTGGCCTTTTGTGTCTCATTTTGTAGATCGCACTTGTATCAAGTGTAACCATGGTTCCCTGTTCGAGTGGTCAAGGTTACTTTGTTCTTCCTCTTTGAGATATAGATTCGATGTTGTTAGTATATCCATGTTCACTTATATACGATGAAAGCCGCTGGCACTCTTATAATCAGCATTATGAATGAATTTTGATCTCATTTGGTACTCAGCTTGTACAATTACAACCCCAGGAGACGAGATGATTTCATTACAAAGTCTAGTTCTCTCCTGACTAGTTTCTCATGGTATATTCTTCAAAATGTAGCAATTCGAGTAAATCCTCCTTTCAAGCCAACCAGAGGTGGCCATGCGGTTCGGTAAACTCGAATCGAGTCGAACCAAAACCGATTAAAACTGACCCGGAACCGAACTAAAGGTGTTCGATTTAGAATTCGGAAAGGAAATATGCTTATTTTTAAATTAGGGTCTGGTCGACCGAATAGAGTTTCTGAAATCCGAACCAAAAACCGAACAAACTAAATCCGACCCATATATATTGTTATTAAGCCCGCTCACTTGGCCCAAACCTTTCCCCCTCTGCGATCCCAACTATGGCCGCAAATGAGCCGAGTCGAGTCGAGCTTTTGCTTAGCTTGAGCTTGGCTCGTTTATAAAATTTTCAGCTCGAGCTCGGGTCAATTAAAAATAATCCAGATCGAGCTCGACACGATAGAGCTCGGTAAATGCTCATTAACACAGCTTGTCAAGGTTAGTACAAGCTCGGCTCAAGATGAGTTCGATTTGAAATCATTCTTGCCGAAGAATGTGTACACATAAGAATGTAAATGATAAAAAGAACACTAGAAACTAAAAATAACAGATAACTTCCATACACATCCGTATTAACAAGATAATGTTAATGTTTAGAAGAGTAATTAATCCTTTCATTAGCTCTAAACAAGACAGCTGGCGAGCATAGCTTAACAAGCCACCGAGTCAAGCTAGTTCACGATCTTATCAAGTGGAGCATGGTCTAGCTCAACCTTGGCTCGTTTCCTTCTCTTCCCTTCTCTTATGGATCCCAACTCTTCTTTTCTCTTACCTTCTCTTTAAAACGCTCTGAGTCTGGCCTTTGCAAGCGAAGGAACTCGTTGAGAGAGAGAGAGAGAGAGAGGAGACGACGATCGGGTTGGGGGAGTCGGGGTTGCTACAGCTTCGGATGAAGAAGCGAAGGCTAGGAACTAAAGGGCGCGGTGAACGACAACCCAGTTAGGAACTAGAGAAGAGTCGGATCTGGCAATCCATTAATGAGAGGAAGATCTGAGATAGGAAAGGAGGCCCCACCATTTTTCTCGGTGAGTAGAGGACTTGGATAAACAAGCCGGTGCCGGGGTGCGCTCTGGGTGGCGAAGTGCTTGAAGAGGGCGGACCGGAGACACCTTTGAGATCTCTACCTCTCTTTCCTCTGAAAAATGAACTTTGTTTGGGCGAGAGTGTGTAGGGGAGGGATAGAGAGCAGAGCAGCAAAGGGAGAGGTGAAGAAGAGGACGAAATTTTGATTTTGGGAGAGAGAGAGAGAGAGTAGCAGAGGGAGGGATGAAGGAAAAGTGGGAAAGTTTGTGGGGGAGAGAGTAGCAAAGAGGACGGAAGATTGAACGGGAAGTGGGAAAGTAGGGTAGAGAAGAAGTTTGGGCTTGTCGGGATCCCGAAACGAACTGGGATATATTTCGGTTTGGTTTGACCGAACCGAAATATATTTTGGTTCGAATTCGGTTGCACCTTTGGCCTGTTTCAGGAAGTCGATATGCTCCTATTAGGTTCGGTTTCGACCGAACCGAAGCTCACTTATTTCCCACAACTTTTTGGCCATTTTGGCATCACTAGCTTCTTCATAGAGCTAGTTCTCGAATGAAGACGAGTTATTGTTTCAGCTCCAATATACACCCGATTTTGTAAGGTACGGTTCGCTCACAACCTGAAATTAAAGTTGTTCCTTTTTTTTAATTGGAGAATGAAAGAAAACCTGAAAGATTCCTTTCTAAAAACCAGACCTGTGCGAGTCTCTTACCAGCTTCTTCCTCAGAAACATAGCCTTTAGTAATGTACTTCTGGAAAGGTGGGAATAGAAGTCTGAACAAAGGAACATGCTCCCTTAACAAACCCGTTTCTGCAATGCAACCAGGGTAGAGCGAAGAAAAGGTAACTCCTGTCTCTTCATGATAGCGCCTGTGGAATTCTTGCATCGTGAGCATGTTGCAGACTTTGCTATCTTTGTACACCTTGGCACCGTCAAACTCTCCCCGGTTGATCATTGAGGAAGTGTTCACCCTATTCAAGCCACCAACAAGCCCTCTTAAATCCCCCAGGTTAGCCTTGGGTGGCACGTTTCTAGCCAATGTGTTTGTGTTTCCTGGATTGCAACAACATTAGTGAAAATATGGAGTTGCTATATATTGTTGTTGGTTGTTTGGTCATATTACTACTAGTCGTTACCTGTTATGGAGTCGACAATGATAAGGCATTTGGAAGGGTAATCTGATTGCTTCATGTCATCGAGAAGGAGCCTGGCGAGAAGAAAGTGGCCAAGGTGATTAGTCCCGACACTGAGCTCAAACCTATCAGCTGTGTAAGTTGGTTCCTTGTTAGTGGGCAGATAGACAACAACATTGCAGACCAGAACATCATTAGGCTTCTCCAAACGCCGAACATTCTCAGCAAATTGTTTGACACTGTCAAGTGAGGCAAGGTCGAGGTGCAATACTGTGTAGTTCTGCTTCGGAATGCCGGATGATTTGGCTGCCTCTCCGCCTTGAGAAAGTTTATGCAAGCCATGATCACATGCCATTCCCTTGTTTGCCCTAGTGCCATGGCTGTGGCTAGCCCTAGCCCTGATGAAGCTCCTGTGATTATCACGTTGCCTTTTCTCTTGGTCTTTCCCACATCTGGCGCATAATTGGTCATTGTTGGGGTTGTAGTAGCAGTTTGGGCTCGGACTACTAGTGTTCCATAAGGTACTTCCCTTTTCCTGATTTCATGAGTATGAGGAGTTAAGAAAATGACATTTACCGCTATCAACGTTCCAGTCTCGCGAAAACCCATATCACCAATTCCCTAAAGTATCTCAAACTCGCCATTTTGAGGCTTATTTTTCTTATTGCGAAAAGCACAGCTTAAGGGTTCTTGATAGTATACATGGCCGATCAACTAACCTTGCTTCTTATCAGGAGTGTCTGGGATTCTTCTTTCGGGCAATTCGGAAACGGGATCGAGGCTCCGAAAAATTATGTTTCCTTGAGAGAAGTAATGGTCTTTCCCTGAAAGAACAATCAAACGACAAAACATGAAAACAGTGGTAAGAACACTTGCACCGGATGTTGCGAATGAAATTAACTAACCTCTTTGTGGAGGGAGCATGTGGAAGAAAGAATGGTGGCCGCTCGAAGAGCCATTGGTGAAACTTGAGGTGGCGATTTGATTGGTCAGCTTCCCTGAAAGTTGGGGGAGGTATTCTTTTGCTTAGTAGAGGATATAGGTGTGTTATGGTTATGTGTAGAGGGTGAGATAAGAAACAGCAGGGCTAAACCTGCTATCCAATTAGATTTTGAGTTTCAAATTTTGTTTTACTCTACATAATTGGTTCTGGAAGCTTTGGTAGCGTTTCGCTCGCTGACTCTTGTCCACTTACCATTGAGCCCGTCTGACAATCTTTATGGGCCTACCATGGTTTGCGCAATACAAATCATATGCATGGTAAGGTTTTCAAGCCGAAGGTTGGGCTTGCCCTTGTCGGTAGTAGAATTGGGCAGCTAGATAGGGTGTCAACGAGGGCGAATCAGGTGACCGGGGGGTGCTTAGTCACTTGACTAAACCCCTCCAAGCTCTTAGATATGGACACACCAATCTGATGGTTAAAAAGCGGGAAGGGCTATTTAATTAATGATAGGGGTATTTTGGGTATTATGTAAATTTACGAAGTACACAAACCAGACTTACAAACATTACAAACTAGAATGAAAAAAACATACAAACAGATTTACAAACAATACAAAACGTACGAACTATACAAACTATACAAAGTAGACCGACAAACAATACAAACCATAAAAAGTGGAAAAACAACCGGGTTGACTTCTGAGGCTCCATTCCTATATAGAGGGGCACCGTTCCAAAATCAACCCGTTTTTTTAGACATACAAACATGGTGGACAAAAATGACAAACTAGACAGACAAACTATACAAAATGGAAAAACAATCGGGTTGACTTTGGAGGCTCCATCTCCATATAGAGGACTTCGGTCCAAAAGTAAACCAAGTTATTTTTTAGACATTAAAACATTTCAAACATGGTTGAAAAAAATGACAAACATAGTGGACAAAAATAACAAAGTTTAAAAACATTACAAAAGAAACCAACAAACAATACAAAGCATACTAATCGTACAGAATACCACGACTTACAAAAATCGGTAAACTGGTATTACAAACCAATGAATACAAAGTATACAAATCATAACATATAAGTATACAAATTAGACAAACAAACATTACAAATTACAATATATATATATATACAAAATAGTCATATAAACATTACAAATATAATAGATAAAATCGATAAACAAGAATAATAAACAATACAACTCGAAGTGATATAAACATTACAAACCGGACATACAAATATTACAAAGTATAACAAAAAACATCACAAAATTGATGTTGTCGCCAGAATATTCTCGTCGCGGCCGGAAAATCATCAATGTTTCTCTCTCTCTCTCTCTCTCTAAAATTTCTGCAGGAAAATCCTCTCTCTCTCCAGACCCACAAAGGAAGTGGGAAAGAACACACCTAGAACAAGAATAATTGGCATCTGAGAAGGGTGGTCGTGAGCCAGAATAAAGAAGGATTTTTTTTAAATTACTTAATAATTGAAAATTAAAAGGAAATGCAATTACCATATTATCCTTTATAAAATGAAATTAATTAGAATCATTGGATTTTAATGAGTTTGAAAGGTTGAGATCGACTTAGCAAGTGACTAAGGGATCCTCCATTAGTCATCAGATCTTATCCCGGTGCTAACACCATATAGCACAATGCTAACCATAATCATAAAGCTTATGGTTTTGAGTTTATTTGGTATGTTTAATAAAACTTATAATTAGCATTATGAAGTTTTCTTGTGTTGTTTTTCCGTCTTTTTGGTATGCTTAATGAGAGTTGTGGAGTGGTTTCAGATATTCTGGTATATTTCATGATATTCTGGTGTATTCTGGTATATTCCTGTTATGGATGCCATTTTTCAGGGTCTTTCGGAATCTCGTCTTTAGACTGATGTTATCCTTAGATTATGGCCCCGTGAGTGGTTACTTCGTTAGTTGTGTTGATTTGCGAATACTAGAGGTTCCTTAGACAATGTAACGTTTGATTCTTGTTATCTATATAACTTATTTGTTTGAATCCTTTTTATCATATTTATTGTATTTTGATGTCTTCTTTTGGATGGAGGTGAGAGAACTTAAGTCCTTATGCACTAACGTATCAAATGCAGTACAAGTCTTGGAAGCACCCTTTCTACATAAGTGATATATGAAAACCGTCTTGTAGGCTACCCACTGATAACAACCAATTTTGTGTTATATACCTACCTAGTTCTTGGTATTCTAATGTCATTTTGTGCTTTAACGAGTACTTAAACTCTCATTCTAACATTCTTTCGCTTCCTAGCATGCATATGATATTCAATAGGTGAAGGTGTGTGGATTTAAGCCACCTAAAACATAATATAGCATCAAGTGTAGATAAATGGGCATGAGAGTTTGCTTGCAAAAGGCAGAGGATCACGATCGAAACATTCAAGCTAGATATGGAGTCTGCATGGCATGTGAGAGTTCACGGTCGCGATCTTTGGAGCCGAGGCTGTGAACTTCGGGAAGCCATCGACATAATTAAGGAGCAGAAGGTCTTGCAGTCCGACTCGATGATGTGATTCCCCGCTAGCATCTGGCCACAATAAAAGAATCCTAGACCGGGGAAAAATGGAGGCACACCGAGGAATTGGTCAAGAATGCCCCCCGTTCAAGTGCAATTAATACCCGATCGGGTTTTGGATCGGGATTTGGGGCATGCCGATTTTTGTTACCTTTTTCGTTTATGATTCTTTTCCTTTTTGGTGTTTTCATTAGGTTATTTTTTATACCTATTTAAAGGGACGAAGCCACGAATTTGACAGATTAGGAGATGGATGTTGAATAGAAAAAAAAATCATTTTCGGTTCATTGAGTTTTTATTTTTGAATTTTATCCTTGCTTGTTAGTGGATCTCTAGCATTCGAGCGAGCTCTGTATCAATCAGGTATTCCCCTTGATTGTGGTCGAGCTGCTACCCTTATATTGTTCGAGCTTTCTCCCAATTTTCTGTTCAGATTGCACGAAAATTCTGCCCTATCCTTTACTTTTGAGTTGTTGAGAGAAAATATTAGAAAACCTTAAAAATATCGAAGCTGCGCAACTTTGACAAAAGAACCTAAACTTTCACGAGCTCGACATCTTATCACTTGCGGATTATGATAGCACGATAAATTTCACTGTCGCGATAATAAGTTAACGAAAAGGATCTTCTACCCGTTATCTCCGAGCACAAACATGGTTGAATGATGTCACATGAAGATCACATGACAATATTCGAGTTCACGACTATGAACTTCCTTGAGGGAGGCCCTGAACTTGTTCGAGTCTCAGATTCCTTTAAATGGAGTAGGACCCCAATGGGCGAGGAGAGGTTGATGTGAGAGAAACTAACACAACTGCTAGAGAGAGATGTGTTCTTTCCTTTGAAAAAGATGAGACCTAGAACACGAGAATAGGAGAAATATAACAAATTTTGGAACTAATCTCCAACACACAACACAAGAGGCCTTCCCCATGTTCTTCCTCTGCTATTTATGTGTATCCCCCGCCCCCCCCCCCCCCCCCCCCCCCCCATGAGGTATTTTCTGAGGTATTTGGGGCAATGTGTATTGGATGGTCATGATCTAGTTAACTTATGGTATGTCTTTTGTAATTGATGCTCTTAATGCTCTATTACATGAATTAATTGCATGTGTTATTTAAAAGTGATGATAAATTAGGGGCTGACCTACAGTAGATAACCATTCACCTAGTTTAAGTAGGGACTTACTCAATTGATGCTCTTTGGTTGGTTGCATGATCATCAAGTCATTCAATTTTGTGCTTACGGGTTTAACCCATTTTAAAAGGATAAGATTTAGCAATCCAATTGCATGATCATTGAATTTGTAGGTATGGCTAGGAGGGGAGTTGGGAGACATGATCATTGGACCAATGATCACAGTGGCGGACCCAAAATTTTGGGATAGGTGTGTCGACCAATAAATAAAAATAAAAATAAAATGATTAACATTAATTAATTAATTTAAAAATTAACAGAAAATTTTATTCATAAATTTCACCAATTTTATTATTTCTTACAGTGAACCACGACGATTTTTCATATTTTTAAAGATTTCTTAATTCCATTGTCCATTAGGTTGCAAATCAAATATTTTTTATGTACAAAATGAAACAATTATTCATGAACTGATAACTCAACTTATACCAAAGATTGTTCTTGATTACACTCATATATGGAAAATGTCATTTTGTAGCTTGCAGTTGCAAGAGGTAAAAGTCAATACTAATTTAAGATGAGAAATTTGGTATGAGAATCTCGAAGGGTGGCCACATGTGTCAACGTGGAAATTTGAATGAGCATGAGGATGTCGTTGGCTCGATGCCGATAATCGAAGGGTGGCTACAAGCGCCAACGTGGAAAGAAATAACTAAACTAGAAAGCAAGTTGAAAATTAACTTAAAGAAAAATCTATGGAAGAAGCTATGGCGAAAGACAGCTTGGAATTCACTATCTAATTATTTGACTCAACCACCTTATTAATCAAATTTAATTCACATACAAATTATCGATGTTGTCTCTAAGGTGATAGCTATCTTTCTAAATACTCATTATGTACTAAGTAGTCAATTAATTGTGTACTCTTGGGCAACCAACTAATTAACTACATAATCTGAAGCCCGATAACTCCTCTATTTGCATATTTTAATAACATTATGACAATAATTTTTTTATAATGTAATAAGGTGTGTCGATTACAATTATTGGAGGTGTGTCGGAGGTCCCATATTCGTATTTTTTACACCAAAAATTTGTGGGTTCTTCACAAAAATTTTGAACCAAGGTGTGTCGGGTGACACACCTTGGTCAAAGGTGGGTCTGCCCCTGAATGATCATATTATTGATCCTCACACCAAAACGTGTCATATATGACAATCTCTGCCCATTGCATTATAACATTATCTCAAGTTGGAGGGGGGGGGTGGGGGGACTGAACCCTGGATACCGCTTATTCTTTTTTGCATGTGTGTAGCTTTAGCTAATAAACTATAAAATTTATGATAGACTATATAACAACATAATTCCTGAGTAGGCTAGTCTACCAGGACTGTGGAACACGAATTCCTTCACCATTACAATACCTTGCATAACTAGGTTACACTTGGTCTATTTTTTCTCCTCCAATATTTCCCTTCTTATTTCAATCATTTCATTGATCTTTCCAAGCACTTTTTGACCTTAAAATATTTGGAGTATAACACATTGGACCTATCAACTAAATTATTCGTGTTAGTTCTAATGACGAATAAAAAATAAGATACCTTACAGACATTTTACTGAATTTCTCGAAGAGCACATTTTCCATGCTCTCCCTCAGTTCTTTACCATTGTTCATCCTTCTAGCATTTTTTGTGCCATGAGTCTCCAACAAAATTTAGGACATTGTCAAATTGAATCATAACATATTCATTTGCATTATATTGTTAGATTAGGAATTTTGAAAAAGCTAAAACGTGTAGTTAGTAAAATATTTCTTGTTTTTGCTTTTGCACTTAAGAAATGAACCTAAATCAAGTGACTTTCTGTTGTTTAATAAGCTACGTTCCAAACCACAAATTTCGGGTACATCACATGTTGGTATATGATCAACCCATCAGTAGCTGCCAAAAGATCCAATACTAGAAACTTCTCCGCGTCTAATGCTAATTATTTAATCATACAAGCAAAAAAAAATAACATGTATGAAACATGATGATGTGGATTTTGATTTGTAACTCCAAAGTAACTTTGAAGCCAAGACCTTTATTAGAATATGGAAACGGATTGAAACACGAAAATCTGAGATCAAGCTTTGTGATCTTTAAAACTTTGTTAGAGACTTTGCACATTGAGTTTGGCAGCTATACAATAAATTGTCTCGACATGTTTGTCTACATTGGAAGGAACCATTCTCTACATATTTTACTATTCCCAATTTGATAAAGTTTTGTCGATGTCGAGATCTCTCTCCTTCTCTTTCTCTTTTTTCCAAGTCTATGTCCTTCCGGATCAGTAACTGCACATGTTTACAGCAGGGCAAGCATCCCTATCTCTAGACCAATGTCAATCTCTTGTCTTGCAACGATGGATCAGTTCCCAATCTTGCACCATGAAAAATGAGAAGACGATGTTGGTGTCATGACATTGCAGTGCAATTCATGATGCTTCTGCTTTGGTCTCCGAGAGAACAGTCAAATGGGCGCAAGTGTCTCGTTCTATGGCTCTTAGCCCTCCAAATCTTTGCACCATTTCAAGAAGAAATCAAGTCATATTCGCCAATATGAGACTTACAACCCAACACTACACACATACTGGGATGACAAGATCTTGGGGTTCCTACCAGGGATCAAGCTATCAACCACCAAAGAACCATTGACAAAAACTGCGATCTCCCTCAAGGGAAATGACCGAAGCACAACGGCAGCAGGGGAATTTACCATCACAAGCAAAGGAATCCTTCCTCCCTTCTCATTCTCTGCCAAACTATCCTGAAGCTCCGATTCAAAATTACTCATCCCGTCCAAGGTAACATTCATCAAGTTGGTGCTTTCTGCGGTCTGCTGAAAAGTAGGAAGCTTTCCTGACGAAATAATGGTGGTGCCATTGTACAACATGGAAACAGAGCTTCCTCTCCCGTAGAAGAACCCAATCCCTTTGTTCGGGTTTTGGGATTTTAGTGTCAGAAAGAATTCTGTGGTTAGGGTTGTGTTGCCAAAGTTAGGGCGGAGGTTAAAGGCATTGACTTGAAAATATTGAATGTTGAAGGATGGTGGTCGGGGCTGGAGGATTGAATAGAGCATGACAAGGATTCCAACGAGGGAGAGGATGATGAGAAGCCAAAGGCAGAAGCAACAACACATGCATTTCACACAACATCCTCGTTCTCCTCCCACATTATCTCCTTCCTCACGGTACCTTGGGACGCGTCGCCTCCCCGGAGGTGGTTTGATTGTGGCTATTGATGAAGGGTGACTGTTATCGAGGATTGAATGCTCTGGTTTTGTTTTGTCAAAATCCGATGAATATCCCTCGTTGTGTTCACCCTGCCGGTTATCCATTTGAATTGAGAATAGAAAAAGAAATTTTTGCCCCGGTAGTTGAGCCCTCCTTCCCAACCAACATTCATGTGAAAGAACAAGACGAGGATGGAGAAATGAGTTTTCTGTTTGTTTGTCTTTTCTGGAGGTTGGCTGTTGTTGTTCTTTTGCCCGTGTATTGAGGGAACTCTGTTATGTATTCGCTGGAGAAGGGAATGATCAGATAGATAGATCATTTTATTTAACGGTTGCATAAAGTATCTCTCTTTTTGCTTGACCAATGAGTAAAATTTATTGTAAAAAAAAAGTAAAGAACAATTCTTTCTTTTATAGTAGTCCCTATAATGACCCTAAGTCAAATTTATCATCCAAACTGTCAACGAAAACTTGATCTAACGGTATCATCGATGATTGCCAAGTCTAAGATTAAAGGTAAAGATGAAATAGGCTACACTCAATTGCCTTTAACATTGTGCCTTTGACCCAACATCACCAAACATTTCTTACATAGATATCAATTTCATCATAACCCACGAGAGTAATCATACACCAAAGAAGATCACTTCCTATTAATGATAAAAAAATAAGAATAGAAATCAAAATATTACCCTTTATCAAAAGTCAATAATAATGTTAACCCCTCGGTAAAAGAAGCATGATACCTCTAGTAAATTTAACAACAAGATCAGAATAGAACCACAATCTATGAACAAAACCAAATAATTCCTAACCAAAGTTGTAAATTTTCCTCCTGGGATGAACTTCAATCCATCCAAAACTTCAAAGCCAACCCCAATCAAGTCAATAATCTGATCCCCCCCCCCCCGGAGCAGAGGCAGAGGGCAGCAAATTAGGAAACCGGGAAAAAACAGGGGATCAGCAAAACCTGCTAATTTGAATGGGGGAGGAGACGTAAGTGGCCACCTTAGAGCTGCAAGACGATCTCAACCCGCCGCCCACTTTCATGAAAGAAACCACCAGCGAAGCCACCGCCATCTTCACCTTCACCACCACCTTCTTCAGCCTCCCTGTTCCCGACGGCCGCCGCTGAAGTTTGCTTCCGGAAGCCAATTGGTACGACATCAAGAATATCTGCCTCTGCCTCGCCCTCATGATTCTATACCCTGGAGACCAAGCCACCGCCATTCTGTGGTCCAAAGGAGTGGCAATCCGGCACCTGGATGATGTGCGTTTCTTAGGAGTGCAGGAGAAGTAGAAAATATCGTCGTTGTGGTGTCGATGAGCGGGGGTGGGTCCGTAGAAGTATTGGTTGAGCTGCTCGTACCCATTTGACCGCCGGTGGCTGAAGGTGGCAGTGGTACTGCGGACTAGCGTCTCCATGGCGGATTAGCGGTGGTGGAGTGTGAAATGGAAGAAGCTGGAGAGAGGGGGATGGCCGATGGTGTACAGATTTGGGAATTTGATCTGTTGGGGAAAAAGTATATACATATATATATATAGAGATATCTCACTAGTAGTACCTGACGTATAGTATACGCCTGACGTACGGCAGTCTAACCCATATATGGTGATGACTGATGTACGTCAGGCAATTAGTATACGTCAGCTGATCTAGCCGTTAGATGTAGTTAGATGAGCTCCGACCGATCTCAACGGTCAATTTTTATTTTTCATTAAATCAAACTTCGGGTTAGGGTTTAGAAAATCGGTGACTGGGGTTTATCCATTGGAGGTTAGGGTATAGTATCATACCCCAAACTCGATTTAATTCATGGTCTAGATAGAGATATTTCACTAGTAGTACCTGACGTATAGTATACGCCTGACGTACGCCAGTCTAACCCATATATATATATATATATATGGTGCCGTATTCGGTGCACCCACTTTTTCGGGTGCACTCAGTGCACCCACCTCATAATTGTCATTCTGACCATGCGATTCATGTCAAAACGGTATCTATTGTTGCTTATGATATTATGAACAAGAAGCACATGAATTTGAAAAAAATTCATTCAAAATTTACTTTAATTCGAAGGGTTTAGGATTTAGGGATTTAGGGTTAGGGTTTAGGTTTACAATTTGGGATTTTTGGTTGGGATTCAAAATTGAAGGTTAAGGGGTTAGGGTAATGGATTGATTTGTTATGATTCTATGTCATATCATCATATTATATTGAGAGTACTAATTAAAGTTCAAAATTTGATGTATTATGGACGCTTTTAGAGTTGGGTGCACTGAGTGCACCGAAGTAGCCACCATATATATATATATATATATATATGGGTCAGACTAGCGTACGTCAGGCGTATACTATACGCCAGGTACTACTAGTGAGATATCTCTATCTAGACCATGAATTAAATCGAGTTTGAGGTATGATACTATACCCTAACCTCTAATGGATAAACCCCAGGCACCCATTTTCTAAACCCTAACCCGAAGTTTGATTAAATGAAAAACAAAAATTGACCGTTGAGATCGGTCGGAGCTCATCTAACTACATCTAACGGCTAGATCACCTGACGTATAGTATACGCCTGACGTACACCAGTATTCACCATATATATATATATATGGTTCAGGCTATATAAACAGAGAAGATTTAATTCCAAGGGAGGGTTGAAAAGTGAAAAGGACACTTTATTATGAATTCTGCCCATACTTCCTGCCCAATTTTTTTTGGTAAATAATCAAATAGTCTTGTGGATTTGAGCCTGTAACAAAATGTTATACAAAATAGTTATTTTATCTATTTTTATTATATTTTCATCTAAAATAATCAATTAGGTTGCAAAAATGGTGCAAAATTAATAACAAATTATCAGTCACCTAACCAATTTGTTAATTTTTTTCTTTTGATAATCCGACAACATCCCCACACACATCAAATTTTGTGATAGAGGAGCGAGACTGAACCTAATGGCCACTTGCATACTTACGTGCAACCGGGGCTTCCCTCTGTACCCAGACATGCCTCCGGGAACACTACACCGGCCTCAAGGGGGGGGGGGGGGGGGGGAACACTGGACTAGCCACTTCCGGGAACGAGCGGTCACGAGGGTTTCACTGCTAGGCTATGTGGTCTTGGGCATAAAATTACCTCTTATCCAGAGCAAACAAATTTACCATTTGAACAAAAACATGGATAAAAGATGAAACAAATATTTATTATAACGTGATAATTATGTGACCTCTTTATTACGTTCTAAATATTTGTAACCATTTTGTTACTCGATCAAACCGATTTAACTATTTTGATAAATTAGCTGATTAATCAAAGTTGTCACCTATATTCTTCTTCCCCCATTCCACCCTTTTTGTTTAATCCCCAATTGGAAATTGGGGTTTGATTATTCGGTGTATGGAATCAAGTATGCGTTGCGACCGACAATCAAAGCCCAGGTTCTAGATGACTTCCTAGTTGAGGGATTCATGTTGGACACTGACACGTCCTGACACGAAGGAACGCACGAATCCATGCCAAATGACCAATAAACGAGGGTGCAAACATTTGCAAATGTGATGTTATCAAATTCCCTCACACTAACGTTGGCTTGTCCCCAAGCACACTTAACTCAAACCAATGCAGCTCATTAGACCTCTGTAGCAACATGTAACCACGATCGTCGGCAGTGGGTTCTCTAGACCACTTAGCACTTATGAGGTCAAAGGATACACAAAATATCACCTGAATCCCACGACGAGAACTTCGGTCCCGAGTTGGGATCATGCCAATTGCCAAGTAGTGGGCCTAAGACAAATGATTCATGGATGAAGAGACTCACAAAACACACATAAACCTGGACTCATCTTTTTGGGTGCTCTTTTCTCTTCATTGGATTAGTTGGAACCCCTTTTCCTTACCCTATTATTTTATTTTCCATTCATTTTCACTAGCGTGGTTCCAACCTGAAATTTCAAAGTCGACCCTTATTTGTTGAGCAAGAGTAATTTTAGTATCTTTGTCCCTTATCAGAGTACTTCTTTAACTCATTTTCCTCAATTCGTGTTGAAGATCAATGAATTGAAGGGGGTTGGAAACTTTATCCATGCCCTTATAAACACATCCTCAAGTAGGCGATCATTTCAATGGGTGGAACTTTTACTTTTGCTAAAGAGGAACTAGCATCACCCTGTAGGAGTACCCCCACTAAAGATCAACTAGTGTCTCTTTCAAAACCCTATTTAGTTCAATGAACGATGCCACACACGTTGGGCTTACCCCGTGCTTCAAATTTTGAACATGGAGGACCAAATTGGTTCTTATTAAGCACATTTAGAGCACCCAACATGATACAAGAGTCTGACACACAAAAGATAGATTCATCTATAATGCACGAATCTAATATCCTATGACCAATACTTCACATATCAACCAATAGAGTATGAAACTGGTGCTAAAAAATATTGAGTAGACAATTTGCAAGGAGCAAGGTACTTGGAGCCCTCAAATTTGAAGATTTGGACAGTGGATTACGCTATAAGCACAATCATAATAACCAAAGAGTCAACATGATAAACACCTCCCACACTTAAGGTCCACATTGCCCTCAATTAGAAAATGAAACGAAAAAAATTAGAATATGAAATGAAAAAAATCTAAGTTTGAATGGGCCAACCAGAAACACGACCATGATTCTAGCCAAAGCGCACGTGTTTCTTATGTCGACGGCAGCGCAGAGCGGGTGGAAAACACGGGCAGGGGCTGGGAAAAATACAACTGTGTTTCTCGACCTTGCACCCGTGTTTTAAATGCAGCATGAAACCAGTTGGAATTGGAAAACACAGGCAGGGGGCAATGAGAAATACGGTCATGTTTCTGACCCATGAACCCATGGTTTAGCTACTGAGCACAACAATTCCGCCTCGAAACATAATTTCTTACAATGAAAGTATCAAACAACACATACGCGCCCCGACTAAAAAACCCATAAAACCAATGACAAAAAACCTGGCGGCACGGAATAAACTTCAAATAGACTCGAGACACTCACAAAGACTAAAAAAAAAAACTAAAATCAAACAAAAAAGAAAAAGAGAAATGTTGCCTCCCCACA